CTGACAAAACCTTGTTCATAAGGCGTGTTGAGGGTACCATCACCATAGCACAGATCTATGTGGATGACATCATCTTTGATTCTCCTATTGATTCCCTTGGTCATGAGTTTGCAGAGTGTATGAAGCAAAAATTTGAGATGAGCATGATTGGTGAATTAAGATATTTTCTTGGTCTTCAAGTCAAGCAGACTGTTGAGGGGTTATTCATATCACAATCAAATATGCTAAGAATCTTGTCAAGCAAGATGGGCTGGACAGTATATGAGGGGTTATTCATATCACAGTCTAAATATGCTAAGAACCCTATCAAACAATTTGGGCTGGACGGTAAGAAACATACTAGGACCCCTTTGAGTACCAGTATGAGGTTAGGTCTGGATCCTATAGGTAAGAGTGTTGACTAAACACTTTATAGGAGCATGATAGGTAGTCTGCTTTATCTTACTGCTAGTAGACATGACATTGCATTTAGTGTAGGAGTTTGTGCCCTTTTTCAAGCTGATCCTAAGGAGTCACACCTGAGTGCTGTCCGATATATTGTTAGATATGTCAATGGTTCTGTTGATTATGGCATTATGTATTCTAGAGATTCTACCCTTGATCTTGTTGGATATTCTAACGCCGATTGGGCTGGTAATGCCGATGATAGAAAAAGTACCTCGGGTGCTTGTTTTTACATTGGTGCTAATCTCGTGGCTTGATGAGTAAAAAATAAAATTCTATCTTATTATCTACAGCCGAAGCCGAATACATTACTGCTGGTAGTTGTTGCACTCAACTGCTCTGGATGAAGCAGATGTTGAGTGATTATTGGATTAAACAAGGTACTATGATTGTATTTTGTAACAATACAAGTGCTATTAATATTTCTAAAAATCCTGTTCAACACTCCCGAACTAAATACATTGACATCAGATATCATTTTATTTGAGAACTTGTGGAAACTCAAATTGTGACCCTTGAACATGTTTCCACTGAAAACCAATTAGGTAGTCTATTTACTAAACCATTGGATGGTCATCAATTTGAGCCTCTTCGAACAGCTATTGGTATTTGTGTCCCTCACTGATTGAGATTATTTGGTGGATGCTAGTATACGACTACTGATTGACATTATGATATTCATGCATCATTTTTTTTTTTTTGTTCTCATGCAATTTTTTTTTGGTTTGGTTTGTGCTTTGTTTGAATACTTATTTTTTGTGTGTTTGATGCATTCATAATTTTTTCTTTGAGAAAAAGAAAAACAAACAAAAAAAAAAAGGTTTCTTTTGGAATTTGATTTTACAGCATGATACACAATGCACTTGATTTTTGTGGGTGCTAATCAAGAATGAGTTTTTTTAGTGAGCTATAACATAATTTCCATTGCTAGCTTAAGATGCTTATGGAGTATTTTATATAGGTCTCTTCATATACCATTGCACTGCACACACTATAATCTTGATAGTGAGACTCTACTGCGTGTGTGAGATTTGGGATGGCAGTCACATGTTAGTAGGGTGACTTTGAACATGAATTGACCATTTTAATTAGACCTAAACTCGATATTATCCCTGCATGATTAAATATATGTTAGCTCAATATCTTAATGCTACTTTTCAAAACCTACTTGACTTGAGCAATTAAGCCTGCAAGATTTCTCATAACCTAGTGCCTATTGTCATCTGACTTTGGTTAACCAGCTTGAAGCTCGTTAAATGGGTCATGTTAGTCGCTTAATGGAAAGAAGCCTACACTTAAGATAAAAAAAATTATATGAGCATTCTTATTTAAAATGTCGTAAAAGAAAAATTCTTTATGCTATAAGTCAGGGGAGAAAAGAATTGATTTGAAATGAGCTTTCATATGTAGGTTCTAATGTGCTTTCAGGTTTGACTTTCATAAGTAGAAGAATATACTTATTAGCAGTGATGTTTCGCATGTCCTTTCTCACCAAATTAAGGTATGGAGTCCTACTGCCAGAGGATTAGTGACACTTAACACATATGAGTCACTTATATCATTTACTACATGGGTGCTTTAAGTTAGAGTTGTGGGATACTTTACTGTTCACTGCATATACTTGTGATTGCATATATTTATATTGTTGAGTTGTTGTGTGTTTTTCCTCAATTTCTTCGGCATTTGTGACAAAAAGGGGGAGAGTTTCATAGTAAGGGGGAGATATATATACACATTTCATGCCTAGAGCAGCTTGTTACATATTGATACTTATCATGTCTTTGAGGGGTCGTTGGGGTGAGACATGGATACTGTATAGACACTTTATGCTTTACATTTGATTTGATCTTTTGCATATGTCTTGTGGAGTCATTGGGGAGAGATATAGATACATGTTCTACTGCTTTAACACTTAAGAGTTTGCAGTAGTGGCATTACATTTGCTCTGTATATCATGCACTGAGGGGGGCATGCGTAATGCAACTGTGTTGCATTTCATGCAAACTGTTTTAGTTTTTCTTGATGTTTTGTGGTATTAATGTGGTTATGGTATCTTGGTTAACATTAATACTGCATCTCAAACTAGTTTGTTTATTTCACCGACTATGCTTCTAAGTACCTTATTGTTTATTTCCGTATCATGTGCCTTTACATTGGTATGTGAGTTTTTGATTTCAGGATACAAGATTAACAAAATGGAAGTAGCAGTTGTTTTTGTTAGACTTTGGTAGTTTAGATAGGTTGTTGTTGTTTTGTATTGTATTTTGTCACAAAATGCCAAAGGATGAGTTTGTTAGTTTATATTTTGTATTGATGATTCTGTGAACAAATTGACCAACTTGAACAGTTATAAAAGTTTAGGGATTAAATTGTAAAGTTTCATAGTTGATAGATTAGCTTAGGGTTTGGGGTTATATGTTTGAAATAAGAAGAATTCACGTCGAATTTTCGCTAGCTGCTCACCGGAGTGTTGCTGGAGCGACTGAAGTATAAAGTTCCTCGCTCGATGTTCGCCCCCCTGTCGCTCAAGCGACAGACCCTTCGCTCGAGCAAAGAAGCCCTTTGGCTCGAGCGATGTATTATACTAGAAAACCTAATTTTTCTTTTCCGAGTTTTTAAATTGGTCCATACAACCTAATTCGTCCAACCTATATATTAAAGGTACCGTATTTCCTGAACAATTGATTGAACAACATAATATTCAAGAAGAATACATCCTACACTAGATCGAAAGTTCAATCCTTCAAT